ATAAATAATTAATTAATAATAATAATATTTATTATATATAATAAAATTAAACTTTGTATATATCTGTGTGTGTGTGTGTGTATATATATATATATATGTATGTGAAGAGTTAATTTGCAAAAACAGATAACTCCGTTTTTAATAATTTTCAAAACTCATGTTTTTTCATTCTGCATTCCAATTAATCTCAATCAAACTGCAGTTGGGTTATTTTGATTAGGTTAAAATAACAAATAAAATACAGTTTTTGCAAATAAACTCTTCATATATATATATATATATATATACACACATACACACACACACACACACACACATGTAAAATAAAATTTTTTTAGTCCAGTCTAGTTAATGACAGAAATTGGTTTCAATAGACTGTCACTGTAAATAATTATTCATTAATCGTTCAATCATTATTTAAAGTCGTACTTACGCAGCTGAACTACTGCGCTTTCTCCATTGGTGGCGACGTAATGTAACGTCTGCTCTCCATAGTAAGAGGCTCCTGTTTTATCAACCTCTGTGCTGGCGGTCACTAGAACCGCAGTGGCTTTAGGAAAGACCAGAAAACAATCATACATATATGAAAACCTCATGTGATGCTAACAAACCAATCATTAGCTAAAACAGTAATGGTCTACCTTTTTTGTTCCACAGCATGGCCACTTTATCAGCTTTGAAAAAGCTTTTGTTAGCCAGAGCAGACGTTGGACCTCCGAAATTGGGATACTGATACAGTCGTACAAAAGACGGCGCGCCTTTGCTTCCAGGAACATAAACAGCAACCTTAGGCAACACGTGAGGGATTAATACACATTTCTATCAGTAAAACAGCACGTGAATGCTTGAAAGTGTTCGGATACCTTGCTCGGCTGTGATCCAGGAGACAGAGCGAACTCGGACACCTTCTGAAGGTGAAGCTTGTTGGCGATAGTTTCTACACAGCAAAACACAGCATAGATTGCAAACTCAATGGGTGTTTAAAGGATCTGCAATGCCATTTACTTAATCTAAAAACCATTTTATTCGACTAATTATTGTATTTTTATTCAGGCTTGCTACATAAAAGACCATCAGGTTTGGAGAAATGTAGCACTGCATCAGTGTCTCAGCAATGGATGCTCTGCAGTGAATGGGTGCCGTCAGAACGAGAGTCCAAACAGCTGATAAAAACATCACAATAATCCACAGCACTCCAGTCCATCAGTGAACATCTGGAGAAGACAAAAGCTGAAACTAATCCAGCATTAAGACGTTTTTAACTCAAGTACACTGAGTGCATAATCCGTAATAACTCTTCCTCCAGTGAGTCAGTGTTCTGGTGTGAATCAGGAGAGAAACCTGCACAGAGCAAGCAGCGTTTAAACAGCTCTAAACACATATGTGGCTGGATTTTGATGTGAGAGACAACAGCAGATGCACTTTTTCACTGGAGGAAGAGTTATTATGGATTATGGACTTAACTATTATTATTAATAACTCTAATGATGATAAAGTGATTATTACATTTTAAATATGGATATTTTTCTAACAAAAACGCATCGATTCGCTACAGGAGGCCTTTGTTCACCCCCCGGAGCCGTGTGACACTTTTTTTATGGATGGGCGCTTTTTATTTAACTTCTTTTGGACTGATGCATGCAAAACACCCGCTGAGTGGCATTAAACAGCTTGAAAGATCAAAGACTATTTTTAATATAACTCCGACTGGATTCGTCTGAAAGAAGAAAGTCATATACACCTAGGATGACTTGAGGGTGAGTAATTTATGGGCTAATTTTCATTTTTGGGTGAACTTACTAAAGGAAATTTACTTCATGGAAATTACTAAAGTAGTCAAACCTGTTCATTAGAAGGAGGTGTCCCAATACATTTGTCCATATTAATGTTCTATCATATATTAAAAGCTCTTACTGGTATACTGCTGCCAGGTGGCCAGAACTCTATTCAGAGGGGAGAATTCCAGTGCAGTAGTTTTGGGCAAATCAAAGGACTTCACCAAATCTCCAGTGGAAACTTTGATCACACTGACCCTATCAAACACACACAGACAGATATTTGTAACCCCTGCTGGCAAAAATGAGTCGGAATGAGCAAATTTTCAAAAATGAGTTCTTTTGATCTCCATTAAAATGCCTTCAAAGTGATATATGACTTGCTGGACTCTGACAACAAATGACCGAGCTACAGCAGAGTTGAGAAACATCGAGTTAAAGATTCCCTAGCAACGTTGCATATTTTCCTCAATAATAATTACTATATTATTAATCACAATATAGCTATTTTTTATTTTATCTTTGGTATTAAAAATAAGAACAAAGATGCATATAAACAGTAGTTTAGTCAAGAGCAGCGAGTGATTAACATTGAGACAGATCTATATTAAGACCTACTGTAATGCATGGATCTAATATAATGTTGCACATCAGATTTTTCCCCAAGTATTAACTAAACGTTCATGTAAGACATAACATATTCTGTTTGTGTGAACCTCGCCAAGACACACACTATGGGTCAAAAGTTTGGGTTTCTTCTGCTCATCAAGGCTGCATTTATTTGATCAAAAATACAGGGAAAAAATGTAATGTTGTGAAATATTATTATGATGTAAAATAAAGTTTTTCTATTTTAATATACATTAAAATGTAATGTATTCCTGTGATGCGCAGCTGTATTTTCAGCATCATTCCTCCAGTCTTCAGTGTCACATGATCTTCAGAAATCAGTATAATATGCTGATCTATTATCAGTTGTGCTGCTTCATATTTTTTTGGAAGCTGTGATACTTTTTTCAGGATTCTTTGATGAATAAAAAGTTCAAAAGAAGAGCATTTATTTAAAATAGAAATATTTTCTAACAATATACACTAGCGTACAAAAGTTTGGGGTCAGTACATTTTTATTCTTTCTTTTTTTTGAAAGAAATTAAAACTTTTATTCAGCGAGGACGTGTTCAATTGTTAAGAAGTGATAGCAAAGATTTATATTGTTAGAAAAGATTTATATTTTTAATAAATGCTGTTCTTTTTAACTTTTTATTCATCAAAGAATCCTGAAAAAATATCACAGTTTCCAAAAAAAATATTGTGCAGCACAACATTGGTAATTCTAATAATAAATCAGCATATTATACTGATTTCTGAAGATCATGTGACACTTTATACTGGAGTAATGATGATGGAAATGCAGCTTTGCGTCACAGGAATAAATCATATTTTAAAGGATATTAAAATAGAAACCATTATTTTATATTGTAATAACATTTAGCAAGATTACTGTTTTTCTGTATTTTTGATCAAATAAATGCAGCCTTGATGAGCAGAAGAAACTCATTAAAAAAAGTCTCACTGATCCCAAACTTTTGACCAGTAGTGTATAAGGAGATCGTGCGCTATTGGAAAGGTGTGTTATGCACACGTTTTGCAAATGTCATCGTTTTGTTTTCATAACGGGAATGAAAACCATATTTCACTGGTTTGTCATCGAGAACTTGATATCAATATTCACGAAGCTGGAATGCTGTAGTTTTGGAGTGTGTGAGCATGTGTTTTGGAGTGTGTGAGCGAGAGCGTGTGTTTTGGAGTGTGTGAGTGAGAGCGTGGGTTTTGGAGAGTGTGGGTGTGGG